ATACATACATACATACATACATATATATATATATACACACATATACATACACACGCGCACACATCCTTTCCCAATTCTAAACTGTCCAAACCATTAGACTGTGCCACAAAAACTCCCTGAGGAAAGCGTTCGTCCCTTCCAGTTATTATATTGCTTCCGGCAAAGCTCGGATCTTCTGGGAATGTTCATATAGTAACAGAAACTGCAGGCATTTTATTTGCTAATAATGCAAACAAAAGGTACGCAGCACAGCCCTAGATAGCCCAAGTGCGCTATTCCGCGCACGTGCTGCAAGGCGATACTGGGGCGAGAAAGGGGGGGGGGGGAGACACTTCGCAGATAACAGCGTGAGGGAATAAATCAACGCGGTGCTCAAAAGGCACAAGTTTGCTTTGTTTCGCCCCTCTCGGTTTTGGCACCACTCCCACCAAGCATCTTCCAAAGAGGCTGCAACTGCAGAAGCCCGAGGCGAAGGCACCACAAGGCTGACTGCAGGACTGCAGTCAGGAGGATCTTGGCACGCAGCAACCTCCCCCCCCTCCCCGCCGCCACCACCGTCCGGCCATAGGGTGGGGTCTTTCCACACACGCCACCCCGTCTGTATCATACCCACAAAAAGGAAAGCAACAGAAGCGGGGCGGGGGGGGGGGCGGGGCGGGAAGAGATGCCCTCACCCCTTCTCCCGGGGGTGCAAGTGGGGGAGAGCGGGAGATGAAGGTGCGAAAGAACCCAAACAGTGCAGGACCAGGACGCCCTTCCTCACGCTTAGGGAACGAGGCATGAGGTGAGACTGGGAGGGGCCGGAAGGCCGCACCTCGTGAGGGGCCCCGACTAAAGCACCCCGGCTCCTACTCCTGAGCTTTAACGGCGGCTGGGAGAGGAAGGGCTACTTCTGACAGACAAAAGGTAGGAAAGAGTTTATTACTGCGGAGGCGCCGGCTACGCAGTGCTCTGCCTCAGAGGAGAGCCGAGTAGCCGCCGCCGCAGTAGCAGCCGCCGCCACGCCCCACCCCGCCAAACTTCGCCCCCTCCCCTCCCCCCAACGAGAGGGCAGGATGGCAATGGGGAAGGCAGGTGCCCGCGCGCGCTCCCCGGCAGGTGCTCGGGGCTCCCCCGGAAAGTTTGCGCGGGATGATGCGAAGCGGAACGTCCTCCAGAAAGAGCTGCTACGCCCTCGCCAAACTGGCAGCCTCTTCCCAGACACGCGCCGCAGGACGGAGATTGTCGTACCTTGGAGGAGTCCTCCGGCTCCTCGGCTTCGGCCACGGCTTCCGTTGGCGTCCGTCCTCCAGGACTCCCGGGCTGGGAATCTCCCGCTGCGGTGGTCTCATCCTGCGGGCTCCGCGGTTCCGTAGAGCTCCCGGTTCCCATGTCTCTCTCTCTCTCTCCGGCGTCCGCTTCTCCAACCCCTCGGGCTCAGGGAGCGCGCGACGCTTTTCAACCAAGAAAGAGAAACTAGGCGCTAGCAGCAATAATAGAGCTGTCCAGGCAGCTGCGCTCTACGGCTCCTTAACTTCAGCTGCTCGGGAAAGCGGTCAGGCTGCGACTGAACCAACCCTGGAGGTTTCTGCAAACTCCTTTTAAAAAAGAGAGAGAGGGAGAGCCAACAAAACTACCTCCTCCCTGGTCCCCCGCCCGCCTGCCTCTCCCTCCTGCTCCATCACATGAGCAGAGCCCCGGACACGCCTTGCAGCATCAAACCTGGGAATCAAGGAAGAGCCGGGCGAGGAGGCAGGCCAAGGATTGGCTAATACCCCCAGTACCTTTGGCCGAGCAAGCCCCGTCTGGGTCTCCCTATTTCCCACCCTCGAGGTCGTCCTTCGACTTGTGCCCAGGTTCAAGAAGATGAGAAGTCACTCCGATCCCATCACTCCCATGAATGGACTTCATCTCTGAATTCCATCATAAAAGGAGTGGGTGAGGGGGGGGGAAGGGGGAGGAGGCTTTATGGAGCACCTGACCTTCAGCTTTGAGCTAAACAACCTCTGGGCCCCTCCCTTCCCGGCCTTGAGGGATGCATCTGATTGCTCTAAGGTGCTTAACTCTTCTATGGGTAGGGGGTGGGGGGTGTAGGAATCATGGATTGGACTTAGCGCAAGTGTTCTTTTTATATTTAATCTGCGTCTCCATCACTGTCTCCTAAGTGAGGCTTCTCACACTTAAGCACGACATAGGTAGACCCAAATCTGGAGTGTAATCTGGTATATTAATCTGGTAATTTTTCAAAGGAGGTAATTGGACGAGAAAGTCAGATCATGTCAAAAGCGTCAACATCCGTCAGCACTCAAGCCACTGATCCTTGCGTACAACAACCATGGGTATTGTGGGATCAAGCAACAGTCAATAAAAATGACAGGTCAGCAGCATATGATATAGAATTGGGTGGAACATGAAATAAGTCACATTGTTCATTTCTTTTTTTTAAAAAAAAAAAAAAACAGCCATTCTCTCATTATTACTAAACTATTGAAAGGACAGCAGTTGAATTCAGACATAGTCTAAAATAGTCTATAAAATAGACCTATGTATTCTGTGAGGTTTAAATACTATTGATTTCATTGATCTCTTTACGTTTAAAGTTTTAGCTGTGCTTAAATAAAACCTGGGATTGCTTTCCATTGTGGATGTAAGAAAGGTTATGAAAGCTTAAAAAGGAGCGGAAAAAAAAAGAAAAGATTTGTAGTCAAACCCTGAAAATTAGTTGTTCCTTACAATGCTAGTTATCTATAGTATTATTAACAAATATCCTTATGACCTTAGAATAAATTGTTAGATAAACGTTCAATTGTGTTTTGCTAATGTTTTACATATTGAGATACCTACATTCAAGTTAAAACCTCTTTGTGTAGAGGTCAAAAAAGTCAAGATGGCAGCCACAGTATTATTACTGAAACCCCACAGTAATTTCTGCAGGGGGTGTGGATTCATGTGAGGCAGAGGGAGGTGTATTTTATACAGCTTTCCTATAATAAAAAGTAAAGTATAGATGTACTGTAAACATTTCCATCATTATAATAAAGAATGAATAAATTGATTACATGCTTTGGGAAGCAGTTATATATGTCATTGTCTTCATTTGATGTGTACAGATCAGACCCATGATGGCAAACCTATGGCATGCTTGCCACAGGTGGCACGTAGAGCTGTTTGTGCGGGCACGCGAACCCCAGCCAAATCTACCTACATTGCGCATGCACGCACCTCCCAGCTGATTTTCAGCCCGTTTGAGGCCTTTTTCGGCCTCCCAGAGGCTTGAGGGAAGCCTCTGCAGCCTTTGGAGGCTGAAAAACAGGACCGTTTCATCACTTCTGCTATTTCCGGAAATATTGGAAGTGACAAAACGGACTCATCAGTATTGCTAATGACAGGAATTAAAATATGTTTGTATTAATAGTTTGAGCTGGTGATTAAGGCAATGGACTACAAACTAGAAGATCATCAGTTGTAGTCCTCCCTTTGGCATGAAAGTTGGTTGGGGGAATTTGGGCTACTTATTCTTTTAGTTCCGTCTCACAGGACAGTTCTAGGGAAAATAAGAGGCAGGAGCATTATGTATGCTTAAATTTGATAGATTAAAGGTGGGATATAAATCTAATAATGATATCAGGTCTATAATTATATCAGGCCTCCTAATCCATTTTTACTAATTATTTTATTTGATTCCTGATTGAAAACTGCCCCCAAAGCACAGTCTGAATAATATTTGGAAGCAGTTGCTATCAAACTTTCCCGCAGGGGCTCAAGACAAATATTCAGGAATAAACATAAAACATCTTAAAACTTAATTGTTACAATACTTACCAAGCCCCTAATACAAGGACAGCACAAGACAACAGATCCTACCTGCATCTTCCCGCCATCTCTAGATCCCGTTTCTCTACTGTATTTTCTGAGTCTTTTCAATTAGCTCTTGCATCTTTCACTATAGCAAGACCCTGTATAACTGATGCTTTTTCTGAGTCTCTTAACTGTTTTTCAATGCCATAATTCTCCACTGGAATAATAGTGCATCCTTAGAAGGTCAGTTGATGTCACAGAGTGGGATTTTGAACATAACAAAGCCTATCTTTAAAAGTCAAAATACTATTAGTTCCTACATCCACACACCCCATGCAACCAATAAGTATTTTGGATTCCCACACCTTAGGAACTCATATTTATGGGAGAACGCTTTTTGCTTATCATTTTAATAGGGATATTTCCTTTTGGAAGATGCAGTTCATACAATAATAATAGTAATACAATTTAACTGAATTACTATGGTTGTTAAACCCAGTTTCTGCAGTGGACTTTTTTTTTTGGCCAGAAATGGAAAGTAAATAGCAATAGCGCTTAGACTTATATACTGCTTTACAGTGCTTTACAGCGCTTTACAGCCCTCTCAAAGCGGTTTACAGAGTCAGTATATTATATTGCCCCCAACAATCTGGATTCTCATTTTACCCACCTCTAAAGGATGGAAGGCTGAGTCAACGTTGAGCCTGGTGGGATTCGATCTGCCAAATTGCAGCAGGAATAGTTTGCAGTACTTCTCTCTGCGCCACCAAGGCTCATGCTGGTTTCTGGTGAAAAAACGTTGCAAATTGTGGTGCTATGACATGGGACACTGCAAACAGACATAAATGTGGGCTGGTTGCTAACCCAATACAGGTAGTTCTCGACTGATCACCATAATTGAGCCCCAAATTCCTGATGCTAAGTGAGACAGTTAAGTGAATTGTGCCCCATTATACAACCTCCTGTCACAGTTGTTAAATGAATCACTGCAGTTGTTAGGTTAGTAACATGATTGTTAAGTGAATCTAGCTCTCCCGTTGACTTTGTCAGAAAGTCACAAAAGGTGATCAGATGACCACAGGACACTGCAACTGTCATAAATATGAGTCAGTTGCCAAGCACCTGAATTTTGATTACATGACCATGGGGATGCTGCAACAGTTGTGTGAAAAACTTGGTCATAAGTCACTTTTTCAGTGCCATTGTAACTTCAGTCACCAAACGAACTCTTATAAGTCAAGGATTATCTATATGTGATTATGTGAGGGGAGAGGCAGCTGTTGGAAATTTGAATCTACGTCCTAAGTACCCTTTTTGGGGTCAGTTGTGACTTTGGTTACTAAGTGACTCATCATAAGTCAAGGAAGTCAGCCAGTAGTCAAAATGAAGCAGCCATCTTGAGTAACAGGAGGAGCACAAAAGCAGCCATGAAGCAGCCATCTTGAGTAACAGGAGGAGCACAAAAGGGGAGCAAGAGTTTTCAAAGTTGGAAGTCCAACTGGCTTTATTCTTTGAGGATAACTGGAGGGAGTGACTTAAATTTAATGATCTGATGTTAGTTAGTTGAATTTTCATCCGTTTGATGTATTAATTAAAAGAAAACTAGTGTAATTTTCTGCCTATAAAGTGGGTTTGAAAATGGGGCTTTTTTTCTTCATATATAATGCTTGAGTAATTCCTAAAGCTTTTAAAATATTATTGAAAGTGAACTTTAAAGTATGTATCTTAAGAGGAAGTTTAAAAAAAGATGTGTTGATTTTAGAATTATTTTTAAAGAAAAGTTTAGAGTTTTAAAATGGATGTTGTATCCCTGCAGTCACATGATCATGACCCAGGTGTTTGGCAACTGGCTTGCTTTTACAACATCACAGTGTTCCACACTTATGTGTGATGCCATTTGCTACCTTCTTTGCTGGATTTCTACAACGAAAGGCAAGGAGGAAGGTGGCAGGAGATTGCAAATGGCGACAATGTGACATTGCGCTAACGTGGGATTTGCAGAAGGATGAAAGCTCCAACATTTTTGTCACTAATTGGTGCAGTGACATGACGTTGAGCTTTAACATGCCAATGAAGATTTTGAGCTCAAATGTAGTCCTAAGTTGAGGACTACCTGTATATATAGATACACACTAACATATGCTAATACACACCTAATGGGAATACAGTGCATTGTAGAAAATAGAGAAAAAAATAGGAAGATAAAGGGAGAAGTTGGAGAAGAATCAAAATAAACAGGAGACTGGCTCTGACCATGTTTCAAGGAAGACTGTTCCCTCAATATATTTAATTAGATAATTAGCATACTCATCTCCAATTAATAGTAAACCTAGTTAGACTTTGTTTCAATTCTCTGCGTTGCTTTGCTGTCGTCCACTGGCCATTTGTGGTGTTTTTTGTTTGTTTGTTTGTTTGCAGCCAGATCAGGTAAACCTAGACAGGAATGCATAGCCATGCACAGCCATTGGGAGACTGAAACCCAGTCAGTTGAGCTATTTTAAAAAAAACATGTTTTGATCTCAACCCCTGCCTTCCTAAAAAGAACTGGAAAGAAAGGGATTGAAAGATAAAATATTTTGCAACAGAGCTCAGTATCAAGCCCCAACATACTCCCCAGAAATTAATTTGCTGCAACAGCCAAACCACGCTCATTGCAGCCTGGGGATATCATGAAGCTCTGCCATTAGTTTCCTGAGAAAAAGATTCATAAGAGTGTTGGAAGGAATATGCTTCTGGGTTCAGT